TGAAGTAATACTTAATGAAGTAATTGGCATATACCCAGGGTAGCAGATACAAACCAATAAGATTTCTTATTGTATACACTCACAAATAAAATAGAATCCCAATATACAAAACGATCGTATATCTATAAAAGGTGATAAATACAACCAATGAGGAATAGTAATCACCGCCGATCACTGTATGGGATATATGCACTACAGACCGCAATTATAAATATACCGCCGTGTATCTCCTAGCAGAGGGTTATAACCACCAGTAGGATTATAAAGAGGAAGACATCTAGACCTTAAAAAGAGGAAGACCCTAACTTATATCACACAGTCTCCATGATAGATCACCAACAACAGAGCAAACAGAACATGTTTATAGGAGTCGCCCCACAGTATGAGTCTATGGGACAGTCAGGGGAAAACCAAATTCCGATCGGTAACCTCAACGATAACGTATCAAAATTAAATTACTAAAATAGATATATATAAACCTAATTTATCAAATATATCAACACATACATACAATTACTCATTTCTGTTCTGTTCTTTTATCTATATCTTCGACTTACGAGAATATAAGATCTCGCCCTACTGTAGGATTCGGATTACCTTTTTCATCCAATAAAATCGCAAAAACCACCTACACAAACTAGAAAGCTTTGAAAAAAGGAGAAGAGGCAGCGCCATTAACAGCCCGGGAAGTAATGAACTCCATTAAAGTGCTACAACCTGCTCAACTCAGGCACGGTCCACGACATTTATCACGAACAACCTGCACACCCTTTTCCACACGCGCACACATTGTAGACGTTCTGCCAATATACCCAAGCCTCCCGTGCGCGAGACGAATACGTCTGAGCATAAAAATTCGGGAAATCACACACACTTTCAGCACACCACAATACGAGGCCATGGCCATGGTTTCAGCCTGTTAATCGACAAAGATTAAAAAGTAGAGAAGGCACTTATACTCTCTTAAGGTTAAACACGGTGTTTTCCTTGCACTCTTGTTTCTAACGATACAGGATCAAGAAATCCCATTAATGAAGCACACAGACTTGAAAAATCTGACTTTTGAATATACATTCCACTTAAGACCTTCCGTCTCGCACATGTACTAGCAAGCTTCAGGCCAACTCAGTTTCGCGCGAAGAGAGTGCAAACCTTTCTTTTGACCTCCAACCACAACGTAAACATGTAAACATCGCGCAAAGATGTTGGAGCGCCCGTATGAGTCTATGGGAAGTCAGGGGATACCAAACGATCGGACCTCACGCTCTCGAAAATCTCCTATGTATTGTTCCTTCCATAAATCGCACACCCACAATACGAAAGATTGTAAGGGAGGCAGGCTACGCCCGGAAGTAATGACTCATTAAAGTGCTACACCTGTAATGAGGCAGGTCACCTCTCACGAAAACTGCCCCTTTTCCACAGCCCACGGGACGCGCCCATTCCCAGCCTCCCGTGCGGCGAATTCGGCGGGAAATCCCTTCAGCCACAAGTAACGAGCCATGGCCATGGTTTCACCTGTTAATGACAAGATTAAAGTAGGAAGGCCACTTATATCTCTTAAGGTTAACGGTGTTTATTGCACTTGTTTTAACGATACAGGATCAGAAATCACATTAATGAAGAACAGATTGAAAACTGATTTGAATATACATTCACTTAGACCTTCGTCTCGCACATTACGAGCAGCTTCAGGCCACTCGTTTCGCGCGAACGAGAGTGCAAACCTTTCTTTTGACCTCAACCACAACGTAAAATGTAAACACGATGTCTATATAGTCTCGGAATGTCAAGTTCCCAGGCGACATCCTGTTAGGTATGGACTGGTTAAGGAGGTTTAATTTTAGGATAGTTTCATATCACTCTCCACAACGGAGTTACATTACACTGAACGGAGTTCGTGTCCGTATGACTTTTAGTGATACGCCATCATTGTGTATTAAAATACTTTCAAAGCGTCGTATGTATAATCAGCCAAAGGAAGCTGATAGTACCATGCAGGTGTGTGCTGAAACGGTAGTTTGTCCACCAGAGACGGGAAAGTTTATTACAGGGCTGGTTCCGGACAACATCAGATGGTTGCTATGGTCACGGCAAAACTGCTCAGGTGCTCATTCCACGTCGTGTAACCCAGGTGTCGGGAGGCAAATTATCTATTTGGGTAGTGAATGATCACAAATATCCTGTGATTTTAAAACAAGGAGTAAACATTGCTGTTATTGAAGGCATAGACCAGGTTTATGAATCCCCTAGGAATGAATCTTATGATTCAGCGTTAAATGAAGATGATGATTTTAGTCATTTTAATGATTTTAGTAATGAGTGTCATGACGCTGATACTCATGAAATTTTTAGTTCAGATTGTTTTTGCGTTTCTAATGCCGACTTTGGATATTCTGGTGATGGTTTTGGTTTTGACAGTAGTTTAGGTCTTGCACATTCTAATTGTTCGTGTTTTTCAGATTTTGATGACTTCACAGATGGTTTTGATGAACATTTTGGTACAACCGACTTTGGTTACAATGATGATGATTTTGATCTCTTTCCCACTGTAAGTACGGACGTCTTGCCTATTTCTACTCCTTCGGGTGAGTCTTGTATAGCAAAAGCTAAACTCGATCATCTTGGTTCACACCGAAGTAGTCAGTTGATGGCAGTGTTGCAGCGCCATTCTGTTTTATTTGATGAGTCTGCACCACTAGGGAAAGTACCTAATATCAAACACCATATTCCTACAGCTGACACAGATCCGATACACACTTGCCAGTGGAGGTTACTCGAGAGTGCGCGAGCAATCATTCGGGAGGAGTGTGATAAGATGCTGAGGGAAGGTATAATTGCACCGTCAACATCTCCGTGGTTGTCACCTGTGGTGCTTGTTAAGAAAAAGGATGGAGGTATCCGCTTCTGTGTGGATTACCGAGGTCTGAACCGAGTAACAACTGCAGATACATTCCCCATGCCCAGGTTGGACCAAATGATTGATGATTATCAGGTACGCAGTGGTTCTCAGCGCTCGATGCGAAGTCTGCTTACTGGACGATTGAGGTTGAGCCTAAAGATCGCAATAAGACTGCATTTAGTGATGGATTTAGGTTGCTACATTTTAATCGTATGCCTTTTGGCTTGGCAACAGCCTCAAGCACATTTCAACATGCAATTAACGCAGTTTACTCAAGATCATTTGAAGAACATTTGTCTCACCTTGACGAGGTTCTTGGCCTCTTAGTCCAGGCAGGATTTCGGCTTAACGTATCAAAATGTTAACTTGCAGTAAATTCTTTCAAGTTCTTAGGCTTTCTTATCACTCCACAGGGTATATCACCTGACCCCGAGAAGGTAGAAGCCATCTCGAGGATGCAGCCTCCGCGGACGATAAGACAGTCCGTCAGTTCTTGGGTGCCACCGGCTTCTTCCGCAAGCACGTAGACAATTATGCTACGTTGGCGGCCCCATTAACTAGACTTTGCGGAAAAAAAAAAATTTACATGGGGAGACGAAAACAACAGTCTTTTGATGGTTTGAAACATAAGTTAGTTACAGCGCCTGTTTTACGAAAACCAGATTTTGGCAGGAAGTTTGAAGTTCATTCTGATGCTTCAGGTGTAGCAATAGGATCTTGTTTAATGCAAAGTGACGAGAAGGGTATACCTCAAGCTGTGGCATATTTCTCACAGAAGTTAAGAGAGTCCAAACATAATTATCCAGTGATAGACTTAGAAGCGCTTGCCGTGGTTGAGTCAGTACGTCATTTTATGGTCATTTTTCCATCTATACAGATCATAGACCTTTGTATTTTTTTAACAATCTACAAAGTCTGTTAGGATGACAAGATGGAGCCACGAACTTTCCTCTTATGATTACGAAATTAAGTACAAACCAGGTGCTTCACATCACCTTCCAGATCTCCTCAGTCGCAAAGTAGATCTTATTGATGCTGGTTTCGATTCACAGCAGGTAGCAGAGGCACAGCAGAATGATCCGCTATGGAATGATATC